TATATTATTTTCATAATTAAAAAATACATTTTCTTAATAATTAAGTTTAGCATCCTTGTATTGTTTAAGTATGTATACATATATGTACAATTTATTTACATATTAAATCTATTACCAGTTGAGTCTGAAAATAAGGCAAAAATATCAAAATACAGATGATACGATTTTCTATATTATGCAGATAACTATAATATACAGACATGTGCGAAAATTCTTCAAATAAAAAAAAAAAGAGAAAATGCAAACTCGTATGAAATTAAAATTTAATTTAATTGAAATTATAAAATAAAAAATCGTAATTTTATAAACGGAAGTAAAAAAAAAACTTGACATTTACGACGTAAATTACAAAATTTATTCATACGAATGTTCGTATTCGGACTTTCAACCTTATTGATTATATAACTCATTGAGAATTCGTATCACGTTCTTGCACGTGCCTCATCATGGTGGTATCGGTTGAAAAAAAAAAAAGTAAAAAGGGAAGAAATGCAGACTTAATCTTAAGAACCTCCGTGAGACGGTACGTTCGTTTACCTTCTGTTACCCGGAACAGTTACACAATGCTTTTATACGACTTCTTTGCTTTACCTTTCGTTGCTACGTGCGAATTGTTACTCACAAAATTTCTTAATACCACTGACTACAAAAGGTACTATCTTTCTCTTTCTTTATAATTCTTACGAGACTTAATAAAAGTATAAGAGATCGTGGAAACGAGCATTACATGTGATGGTGGGAACGAAAATAGTATAAGCTAATTTGCCTCTATTTTTTTTAACTATGATGCGTCTATATATTTTATTTTTATCTAATTTTTATATGTGCTAGCAATTACAACAATCAAATAAGTCAAATAATAGAAAAATTTGATTTTATGACTCATTTTACAATATAAATAATTATAATATAAAATTAATTTTTTCTATTTTTGGACTCAGCCTTCCGTCATATATATCGACTTTACATTTTCAATGAAAATTTTGCTTTTCTTTTTTAACTTTACGACAAATTGTAATTATAAATAGTGTTTTATTTATTATTCAAGCTTTTGCCAAATTATCTGTAGATTTAATGTCATTAATTTGGATTTATTGTAGAAAGTTATTGTACATGATTTTACGATAACGTACATAAAGTAAGAAATAAATAATGAAAATATTTATTCGTTAAATACACCTTTATTACATTTTGTAGTACTTGGGCAGTACAGAAGTGGATCAACCTAAAGGAATAGAACTAGTGAAGGAAGCATTTTGCAAGTTGAAATTTAGCCAGCAGTTAAGAAAAAGCGAAGGAACGAAGACTCCGAAAGTTGAACTCACCATAAGCATCGATGGCGTGGCTATTCAAGAGCCCAAAACTAAAACCACACCGAAGGTTGGTATTTGTAAGAGATTAACCTAATGTGAATTTGTAATCCTTTCTATTTATAGAATAAATATATCCCGTTATTTATTATCTTTTCAGCGAATTATGCATCAATATCCCCTGCATAGAATCTCTTATTGTGCCGACGACAAAGGAGAGAAAAAATTCTTTAGTTTCATTGCAAAGGAAGAGGACGCAGAGAAACATACTTGCTTCGTATTCGTTAGCGATAGGTTGGCCGAAGAGATTACGTTGACGATTGGTCAAGCTTTCGATTTAGCTTACAGACGGTTCTTAGAAACCTCTGGCAAGGATCTTGAAACTCAAAGACGTTGCATGGTGTTGCAACAAAAGATTAAAAGATTAGAGCACGAGAACAATGTCTATCGACAACGGTTACAAGATATTGCTGCTATCAAAGGCTCGGTTAGTGTGCCAGTTTAATTACTTTATTATTAGTTTTAACTCTTTCTCGGAGGTGTGGGTTTGAATTATTTCCCGTAGCTATGTGGGTGAATGATTTACTACACGTAAAATCTATAAATCTAACTTCATTGTATTTTTTTTTTTGCAAAATGATTTATTGCATATATTTCGAAATAGTCTCCTATGTGTTATTGAGGTTCTTTTAGTGTAAATTACAATAACATCCACGTTTGTATTTATCTTTTAAGTTTCTTTTTTTTTAAATATATTTTATTGAACAAATCCAATTACAACATCGGGTCAAGACCTTACAGTTCATTTTTTATTTATACATATTTCATGTGCTCAAAACACAGAAATTTATGTACAATACCAGAAAATTAATCAAAATAAAAGATTTACTATCTTTATAACAGTTGAATATATATTTGTCGGGAATATACCTACAAACGATAAAGGTATCTTGACAGCAAAGAATTAAAACATTAAATGCGAAATCGATCTTATTAGACTTTCAATAAGTTGTAGTGTTTAACATATACTATATATTACCGGAAACCAGCACTTATCGACATGTAGCCTACTAATTAAGTTATACTAAAACAAATAAAATCAGAAAACATAATGAATATTCTCTAACATTTTAGTTTTAAACTTATAGAACATAAAAACAACAAATAGAAACATAAATATTCTACCGCACAATGACCGGTACTAGTGACTAATCCGCACCTAGTTGAGTCAGTCGTTAATAAATGACAATTTTAATGATGATTAATATATAGTGTTCAACTTCCTCATCTCCTTAAAGTTCTGTTAATTCTTTTAGAATCTATAATTTCTGACTTATCAGGCTCACCATTCGTTTTTGACTTTTCTAGGCGGATGTGTCGACTTACCTTTTGCAGCACGATCTTCCGGATATCCTGCATGTACCCGGAGCACCGAGCGAATCTCCGCAAGTTAACGGCACAACCAACAAGTCTCCTCTCATAGGAATAAACAACGATAGTAACGGAAACACATCTAATGGACCGCAACAACCACCACCTGTTCCTCCTAGGAGCTTTGAAAAATCCTTTGATGACGATTTCATGGGGTCGGTTATAGTGATGACAAGTGATATGATTAATGGATATAAGATGATATATTTAGATGCAGAATTTATAACTACTCCTTTTATTAAAATAGAAGTGAGGCAACATCAACACCGGTTGTTGGAACGAAATTAGAAGGTCTTCTCATGGACGAGTTTGAAGAGGACTTTAATCCTCGAGCATATGAGACGGCAGCTAATGGTCTTGCCAATTTTCAAACGAACAACAATTCTCTCCTTAATGGTCAACTGTCGTCGAATTCTAATATATTTTCACAATCTAATGGTACTGCTAGTCCGCCACCACTTTGTAAGTTCTTTTAATTCTATAATTTCGTATAATTTTCAAGTTATCTACCGATATATCAATATTTTTTTTGTTTAATTTAATTTTTTTTTCCTCAATATGACATACACACATTGATCTTTAATCCTTCTTTGTTTACCGATAAATTTAAAATCTTTGAAAATGTTGAATTTATTGTTAAATTGTATTTAAAGATTGATATTCGTTAATTTCTCTATATATACATTATTTTATATATCACGGCAAAAAATCGGGTTACAGAGAGTTTATAGAATAATAAAACAAATTGTAATATTAATCTTTATTTCTTAAGTGGCGCCGCCTCCAAAGGCAAAGGATTCGCGACGACAAAATGGAGTAAAAGAGGATCTTTTTGGTAGCGTGCCCTTTAATCCTACACCGTCTATAAATACAAAAAATGACTTCAATGATCCTTTTGAAATGGGTGAATTTGGTGCTACAACCGTAAACTCAAGTCCGAGTCAACAGGAGTTGGAAAATGCCATAGGACTTTTGGATAAAAGATTACTTGAAATGAAAGTAAGTTTTATAATTTTATGATAAAAATTACACGTTAAATACCACGAGGGCTATCGATAATCGGTATTAAGTTGCACATGATTAAACACTTCAATTTATCTATTTTAACGTAGTGCATAATATAAATAATAAACGCATAATAATAAATTTGTGTTGGAGTCATGGGCAAGCCATTTAAAATTAACGTGGCATTCAACATGTTAAGATTCTTTTATATGTCATTCGATGTTTTTATTAATATACTTGTATTAATAATGCACATTATTTTTTAGGATGGTTTTAGCAGAGGTTTATCCATGGGCACTGATGATTTTTCACTGGAAAGCTTAGATCCATTAAGGAATTAATTAAATCGAACGATCATTGATTATTCAAATTTAGGTGGAATCAAAGATGAAAACGAAGAAAGAAAAATTCTCTATCGTGGTCTCTGTGGAGAGTCAAAATCTGTGTGAAACCAAAATTAGTCAATTACTGTTACTATACGATACTCGTATATTTATGGTGATGTTTGATATTTATATTATATTATTATAATTATCTATTGAATAACTTCTATTACAAACGTGCGCAGTTTCTCACGCTTGATTGTTGCACGATATACTTGTTTTATTCGTTGCTTTTGATGATATGTCAGGATCCAATCGCGTTTAATTGTCTATAATATATTACTATGCGTTTAAAAACGGACAAATCAATGAAAGATAGGATCTTAAAGTAATTAAATTTTAAATAAGATTTATATAAAAAAAAAAAAATTAATCATGTTCTAAGTAAATTTATATTATTTTAAACAGATTCTTGTATAAAAGAGGTAGGTCGTACAAATATTTTTCGAAAAGTCTTACAGAGTTTTTTCACGTTTTTAGCTAGAATATTAGGTAGTAGAAAATCGTCAATTCTACATTATTGAAAAATCTTTAGAGTGTATCATTATTCCTAGTTGTTATAATAATAACGGCTACGACTAAGAGAAAAGAGAAACTTAAAATATATATTTTTATAAATATAGGATTCAGCTTATATAGTTTCTCTTTTATTCAAGTCGCGTACCGAGATAACAAGAAATTTATATATAGTAACCGAAGTAGAGTTAGATATTACTAATAATGCTATAAACGCATAAATAGTATTGATAATCCTTCGGTTAGATCAAATACTATCTTCTTACTATCTTATTTTTTCCGTGTTAAAAATGTTCCCAATTTTATATCTTTTATCTGTCTTATCCATAACAAAAAAGAAAAAATGATAATAATTATTATTTTTAAAAGAATATAAATTAATATTAATAACATGATTCACAAAATTATTTGTACAAATATAGATCTGATTTGTTATTTGAAAAACTATTACTATTTACTACGAAAATACTATATACTAGATATACCAGAAGTATAAAATTAATATCATGTAAATATGAAATTTCGTCTTATTGTTATTATATTATATAAGAATAATAGTTAAGAATATATATTACATATATATATATGTATGTATATATATATATATATATACATCGTCTGATTATTACGATAGAAAAGTTCTTTATTTACCAATTATTATCCATATTTATTCTTTGATTACCGACGTTAGATAAATTTTATTTAATCAAGTTCACGCAAGATGGCGATACTTTGCAACAAAACTTACTTACCGGTTCATTAAAGAAATTAGCAATATATCCTTTTTGTTTAGCATACTTCATATACACATTCAAAAATATATTATCCATTAGAGAGTAGTTTTATTTAAATTTGAATAATAAGAACCGTGACTCATAACGATAACGCGGTTTTGTGCCACATGATCCATGACTCGACCAATCGACTGCGCAATCGCATTTGATATATCATTGCACGTCACGATAAGTGCACCGCGAGGTTGCCGAATTTACTTACATTAGAATTATTTAAGTTGGTATCTTAAATTTTTCATCAAAGATTCGTATTTTATTTCTAATAATAAAATAATTGAAAAAATTGTCAATTAAGTACATTTTAGATATAATTTAAGTAACATCACCTTTTAAAGAACATCTTTAATTTTTGAAAATTTACGCGAATCACCGTTTTGATTTGTCGCACGAAAATATATTTAATTATATTACTCGAAATATCAAATATATCGTAGAATACAAATCAAAGTAAAATATTATTGCTACTTTGTCATAACACTTCTTAATCCTATTAAGTTCGACATTATCTCGTTGACATTCAAAATTACATTTAAAAAATCACTAATGCTTTCACCTTGACATTTAACGCCATCTGTCGTGGATACATTTAAATGCTATATAATCATATAATTGAAATGAAATAAAATTATCAGAAAGATAATAAATTAAATAAAGAATTAAGAAACGAAAATGACTCCAAAATTTTCCAAATAAATCATCAAAGAAAAAGATAAAAAGAATTTGAAAAATATTTTGATAAAAAAATTCAAGAAACTCAAGCCTTAACCAACGACGTTTACGTTCGAATAAACGTTGACCGGTAGGTAGTAGGGATAAAAATGTAAGTATAGGTACATAGATACTAACTTGCGTGCAGTCTGACAACGTCGCATTCGCATCGCTGTTAGTCTACGTTCGGTGGCGTCAGTATTCCGCGAGCTTCCATCGTGTGTACTTTGGAAGTAAGTTAGTTAGCAAGCAAGCAAGCGTACGGGATCTAAAAGATTTAGAGGTTGAAGAATACATCGCAAAGAAAAGAGCGAGATTATCGAGATTGTTAATATTCATAAAGAAGAGGAATCGAAAAAATGGCGGACGATGGGCACGAGAATGGCACCAGCAACGGGGACGTGCCTGAGATCGAGCTGATCATCAAGGTGAGTGTGTGTGTGTGTTCTGCGTACGTACACAACGCGCGTCTACTTTAGCGAAAGAAGGATAGAGGAGACAACTGCTTGGAACTCGAAGGAGCTTTTATAGAGGAAGAGAGATAGATAGTGTTATAGAGGGAGGGTGGTAACGGCAACGGCGACCGAAAGGGGTAGAGGGGTGAACAGGAGGGAAAAGGAGTTACTCCGCAGGCGATATGGGCGTGGAACGAAACGAACTCTTAGCTAGCTCAATCTCTAACAAACTTCCTGCCTATCATCTTCCTTATATCTTGTCTTCGTTTTTTTTTAAATTTAATTTTTTCTTCTTATTCCTTTTTCTTGACTTATATGCGTTACAAAGGAAATTGAAAAAACAAGTAATGTCAGAGGATAAGAAAACGATCTTCGGAGAATATGAGAAAGAGAGAGAGAGAGTGTGTGTGTGTGTGTGTGTATGTGTATGTGTATGTGTAAAAAAGAAAGAGAGAGAGAGAGAGAAGAGAACGCGTCACTAGTCGAAAAGCATCCGGCAGTGGCGACTACTGCTATTGCCACTTCTATATTTTGTTATCGATGTGTCTTGTATATACATATGTATTTATGTAGTGTCCTCGTTCGAAGGAATGGTGGTGTGTTGTGTGGTTATGTGTTGATGCTCCAGTAATGATGATGGTGCTTTTATGGTGCCCTAGTGCTCTGTGTGTGTGTGTGTGTGTGTTGACCATTCGTTCTGACGCCAATGTCGACCACCCTGTCTCAGCTGTCTTTTGTTTTTACTTCGCCTCGCCGGACGGCAGCCAATTTTGGAGACTCTCGGGGTCGGCAAGGTTGCGTTGAGTGTCTAACGAAAATGGATCTAACATAAATTGTTCCAGCTATCGGAATGGTGGGAAAGATAATACAACATCTCTGTCTTCTTTTTCTTTTTATTTTTATCATTATGCACGAGAGTTTTCTCGTATGATATGTATTTGCATACACTTCGTAGAAAATTATTGTTGAAATAAATATAAATTTCAAACCAATAAACATATTTACAATATTTTGTAAAATTTTACGAGCTACGCTATTATCACGACGATCATGATTGTAATACATTTTTGTTTTTTTTCTTTTAATTTTTATTTCTTTTTTACATCCTTTTTAATGTAATTCTCAAGATCTCAAGTAGCACAAAATATTGAAAAATATTGAATACATGTGTATTTAATATTAAAAAGACATTAAAAGAATAAAATGTCCGTGGTGAGAAAAACAATTTCAACTTGATTGTTGGATTTTACAGAAATAACTAATTATATGATTATATTATTATAATTCACATCTTAAGATTAATAATCGACTTACAAGTTTACAATGCATATCATACATTCATATACATAGTGTTCTTGATCATTTTCAAAGGTATCTCAATTCGTTATGACTATTCTGTATGCGAAGTTTGTTTAAATTATCTTTGATTAGAGTTTCCCTCATTTTCTTTGGTAAACCATATCTTTTATCTAGTCTCATAGATAATAAATAATTTAAAAGATTTGTGATCTGATAATCTGGGCACAACTAGTTTATCGGATTATCATAACCCACGTGAGGCTCACAAAACTATGTTCAATTAATACATTATTAATTAATCACGAGTATGTTACTTGAATGAAACAAACTTATAATAACATTGTATTCAATAGTGTTTATTTCAACTTTGATGTTATCTATTTTTATATTACAATTTTTAATAATTTCGTCCAATTATTATAGTCATTATGAAACATATTAGGTTGTTGTAGATAATAGCTGGTTAACAAATGTGTTAATTGTACCAATTAAATGAACCTAGCGCTGGAACGTAAATTATTCATTTAAGAATGAATATATGTTCATATAAACTTTTTTATTTAATATTATTTCAGACCATTTATTCCAAATTTATGCATGTACTTTCATTGTAAATCACCCTGTATGTTATCGAAATCTTTCGAATATTTGTACTTTTGTAAAAGTAATGATAAATGTAATTAGGAAATATTCCTAAAGTTGTTCTTCTTTCTATCGCAATTTCATCAGGAAAACACACATTTGATATTATTGATATTATAATTGCTAAGTTCGCGTTTCGTGTGAATTTTTATCACTTTGTTTTACTTCTTCAATAATCCTTGAAAGCTTATAACACTTAAGTAAAGACTTTTCAGACATAAATTATTATATGAACTTTCTTGACCTACTCGACCTCATTAACGCGAGGTAAAAGTTTGTTCCTGACCTTTCCAGACACCTTGTATTTGTATATGTATATATAAATGCATGCACATATGAACGTATAATATAAGAACTGACGATAACGACAAAGCTGAACTGATGCGTCATTGGACTTCTCGTGTTGATTTTAAATGTGCGATCTTTGTTCTTCTCCCCTTTTATTCGCATATATTAACTCATGGTATAACGTTATCTCTTGTAATTTTATAATACGAATTTCCATTTTCACGTTTCAATTATTTTTTCTTACTTCCTAGTTCCGTGAGACGTTCTTCGTGTTACGATCAATGAACTTTTCCAAGTCATCTTTGTTTGTATTCATATTGCAAGTAACGGTGGAGAAAGGAAGATATGCATAAACAGATTTCTATATATTGTAACATATATATATATATACAATCCTTTCATAACACGGTACTTTTAAAAGACTGTATAATACGATGTAAAAATTGGGGCATTCTTCTTATAACACAATTTAAGAATTGGGTTATCCTTCTTATAAAACAGTGTATAAATTGAGACATTTGTCTCATAAAATGGTTCGGAAATAGGACATTCCTCTTATAACACGATTCACAAGTGCAGACACAAACATTGTGACATTCTTTTTCTAAAACAATGCAAAAATTATACTAATTCTTTTATAATACAATCTTCGTATAAAATATCTTTATAAATTTAGGCAAATCACATATAATACAAATGTTTCTATAATACTATATTTTTTTTTTTTCATTTTTAATAAAATATGGAAAGAAATAACTGTGTTATAAGAGGATTATACTTATTATATTTATTATATTAATAATATGTTATATACTAACCATTGGAACCCATAGAATAATAATTTTGATTAATATCTAATCGATATCTCGTTTTGACTTTGACAAATTAATCATTTAATCGCATTATCAAGGCTAGTCTCTTATGTCATTTTTATGCATGTATTATGTATAATACGACCAATAATAGAGTATCAGACAATTTTATACCAATGCGAGAAGGTGAACCTTCTATCTACCTAACGTTATTATCCAATTTGCATAGAACACTTGTATAGATCGTTGTTATAAGTCGTTATATGTATCGAAGATATTACAAACGATCGTGCAAGCTATTCGGAGAAGCATACTTCTCAATATTCTTTTCTAAAAATAAATAAAGAAAATGAAATATTTACATTAATAGGAAGAATAATAAATTCATTAATTTGTCATTTTAATAATTATTAAGTTCTAGAATTTTTATCATAGAAAAAATTAGATTACATTTGTTTTATATCTTTTATTAATCTGTAAGCAAGTAAATAATGTAAGGAATTTCAACTTACGTTTTGAAAAACATTGTCTTATAATTTATTTACAAATTTTAGACTTATTAAGAGATATATAGAAAAATAAAATAAAGTATTTTATTGTATGAAAATAATTTATTTTTTATATGAAGACAATTTAAATTAATTGATTTTTTCCTTAATTATAGGAAAATACCAATAGTTTTGATTGGCATTATTTCGATAAATATTACGTTATCTATTGATTATTAGATTTCCAATGAATATTTCTTCTGTTATAATCATTTTTTTTTTATATGGTAGGATAAGATATGCGACATCAAAATCAACGATTAGGATAGCCTTTGATTGACTAAATAATATTCATCGTTATCGTAACTTTTTAACGAACTTAATCTATATTTTGGGTAATATAGATCGTTGTATTATAAAAATCATCGTTTGGCGATAAGAGATAATTGGAAGATCGGCGAATAAATTGTTTACCAAGTTGATAAAATCTTAAAGATAAAGTATAAATTCTTTTATTCCAAAAAATTTTTTAAACTACCAAAAAAAAGTTATCAATGTAATCGATATTTGAATTAAGTTATGCAGTAAAGCTACCAATTTATCTGAAATTAAATAAATTCAATTTAACAATATTAATTAAAAACAAAAGAAGTTTCATTTATTTCTATATTTCTATTATTAGTTGGTTATATATTATTTTCTTTTATTATTTTGTAATTTGTTCACGTTGCTTATTTAACAATTAGTAATACAATTAATATTATTTAAGTTGTGGCGAACTCTTTGAAAAACAATGATGAGTATACTAGTAAAACATAAAGTATTTGTAGCTGTTATAATATTAGATTTAGATTTATTTAATATTAGATTTTCTAATTATAAATATTTATTTATCTACTTAAGTTTAATCTACTGTTGTTGAATGAAATATTCTTGAATTGAGTCTTATATATGTTCCACGTATAATATATTGTTTACTAAATTTTCGTGGAAGGTTTTTGTAAAGAGGGGGTAGAAAAAAAAATTAAGAAAGACGTAGTATCTTTCGTAAATATCTGTGTGTATGTATAGAATATATTCTGCGCACGAACGGTTATCGAGTTATTTATGTTTATGTAACACACAAGCGGCATTTCACTTGCCTTCTCTGAGCTCGTGGGTTTTCCACTTAATACCACGATCGGAATTTCGTATTAAATAAACGTACGTAAGTAAGTAATTCGATAACTCGATTTCGTGAGTACCGAGTGTCACCCTGCTTTCTACGATATATGAATCTATGAATACACATATGTGTATATGTATATAACTATATAGAAGTAGGTAAACATTTCTTTCGTTCATTTCTAGCTTCTGCGTAAGTTGGTAATTTTCCACAGGAATAAAAACGACTGGGCCAAATTTGGAATGTTAATCATTAGATCTATCTCTCCAAATGATTTGT